TATAAAATGTATAATTAATGTATTAAGTAAAAGTAGAAATTACATCATCACAACATTCATGCTGACATGACAAACATATAACGGAAAAAGAAAATGCAAATATCGCTCAGTTGTTGCACCAATGCAGAAAACGTCCAATATTTCCCTTGTGCCTCTTTAATAAGTGGTCTTTTTTTCTCTCTGCACCTGTTCTTTAATCTGGGGGGCTGATGATATGAAGTCGCCGACCAGTTTATCACACAGACTCCTTTAAGACCTGAATTTCCATAACAAAGCTCTCCACATATGGTAGCCTGTCTACATTAGGGGCAGCTTGTCCTCCGTGCGAGCCCCTCTGTAGTAATAAGCAACCACTTTGCCTAATTGGCCTCTGCACGACTCAGCTGCGGCGACTTCCCCCCAGCTTGCTGTATCACGCTCCAGGGGTCATAGAGGAAAGGAAGGAGGGGTGGGGGGGGACCTTGGGAGGGGTAAAATATCTAAGGCCTATCTATAAAAATCCGATTGGGAATAAAGTCCTTTGTGTGAACTGGGAGCAGCAGCTATTTCTAGCAGGAGAAAGGGATGCAGACGGAGGCAGCTGGGGAGACTGACAAGCTCTGATTGGCTGCTCTGCGGACAGAATGTGCCACCTGCAGTCCTTTGTGTGATGTGACTGAATTACATTACAAGCAGCCTGGCTTTGATGGGCTCCTATAAAAAAAAAAATTGTACGTGCCCCTCTGCAGAGAAATGCAGAGCAGGGGCCGCACAGAAAAGCAGACAGATTATTAAACGGGGCCCACAGGACAAAGGGTGCTGCAAGAGATCTGTTCCTAAATATGCGCAGTCACCGAGCAAGGACAAAAAGCTGATAAAAATGCAGTTTAAAAACCCCCCCCCCCCCTTTATTCAGGGCTGAGATGAGAAATCAGACAGATTTCACCTGTCAAGAGAGATGGTTGTGATTTCTGTGCTGCATGTATTCGGATGTAGATGCAATGTTGCAGTCTGTCTTCCCTTTCGCCAAGAAGCCTCTCCACACATGAGCTGAATTACTGAAATAAAATGATGACTTTGCATCTCCTTTAAATAGTCGCAGTCACCGAGCAAGGACAAAAAGCTGATAAAAATGCAGTTTAAAAACCCCCCCCCCCCCCTTTATTCAGTGCTGAGATGAGAAATCAGACAGATTTCACCTGTCAAGAGAGATGGTTGTGATTTCTGTGCTGCATGTATTCGGATGTAGATGCAATGTTGCAGTCTGTCTTCCCTTTCGCCAAGAAGCCTCTCCACACATGAGCTGAATTACTGAAATAAAATGATGACTTTGCATCTCCTGCAGATGCTGCTGCTGCTGCTACTGTTCTATACATCACATCGTAGCCAGGGGGGTTAAAAGGCCCATGGCAGATCACTACAGGTCAGCCAATAGTCTGCTGACCTAAAACACTCATCCGACGCCCTTAGTCAGCAACATAACCAATGGGGGGGGGGGCTATATAAAAAAAACAAACGCAACATGAACACAAAGCCATTCGAACAAAGATAAGCTCTGCAACAAATGTATAACATTGTAAGTATCATACACAAATGAGGGTTCACTGATTAAGCCTGCAATACACAGTATAAACGACTAAAAAAAAAAAATGAAGAGAAAAAAAATCTTAAGTTTTTTTTAAATATCTTAAATTTATGAATCTGATTTTTTTTCTTTTAAAAGGAAAACGTATTTATGTAAATATGGCCAGCTTTATGTTACTTATATTCTGAGTGAATGTTTGAGAGTACTAGGCGACCGTCCGTCCCAAGGACAGTCCATGCCTTTCCCCTCTAGAACTGATAAGAACAGATACTACACTTGATCTTAGCCAAAAGGCCGAGAAGCGATGAGTGAAAAATCTTTAATGCATTTAGGGTACTATTAGACATCCCAATAAATATTCCGCTTCACAGAGTGCAGGAAGGAGTCACCTAGTTGCGGATGGATCTCAAATAAGTTTAGGCGTCTTTACTGGTCGTTGTCATACATGCCGGGCACCTTTCTCTTCAGTCTCTGTTTCCCCAGTTGTAAGTTAAATGTGCCAAGATAAAAGGGTGGTGCTACTGTCAGAAGTTTGATGAGAACCTCCGCAAAACTTAGCGAGGTCTCCGAAGTGCAGCCCCATGGTTTATTTGCTTGTCTTTCAATGCCGAGTTGTGAATGTGAATGTTTTAAAGCACTTGTTTGTGTCTAAATATGCACTATATGGGCTGAGGTTTGCGGACCCCTTGACTATCATACTTACTACATGGCCCAAAAGTACACTATATTACCAAAAGTATTGGGACACCTTTACACGCACATGAACTCTAATGCCATCCCAGTCTTAGTCCGTAGGGTTCAATATTGAGTTGGCTCCGCCCTTTGCAGCTATAACAGCTTCGTCTCTTCTGGGAAGGCATCCACAAGGTTTAGGAGTGTGTGTATGGGAATGTTGGACCATTTGTGAGGTCAGGTACTGATGTTGGAGGAGAAGGCCGGGCTCACAGTCTCCGCTCTAATTCATCCCAAAGGTGTTCTATGGGGGTGAGGTCAGGACTCTGTACAGGCCAGTCAAGTTCCTCCACCCCAAACTCCCCCATCCATGTCTTTATGGACCTTGCAAACACCTGAATCCAATGATTCAGAGGGGTGTCCCAATACTTTTGGTAATATAGTGTATGTAGATACCCTTTCTAAACCACTAAGTTTAGATGTCTCTAGTGAACTCCACTGTTAATACTACAGCATACAAAGACATTTAAGACAATTCTGGGCTCACAACCTTGTGACAACATTTGGTGAAGGTCCTTTTTTTGTACCAGCATGACTGCGTCCCTCCGTACAAAGCCAGCTCCATTAAAAGATGGTTTGACCAGTTTAGTGCAGAGGAGCCCGACTGGAGCCCTGACCTTAACCCTACTGAACACCTTTGGGATGAACTGCACCAATGATTGCATGCTGGGTCTTCTCATCTAACCTCACAGAATGCTCTTTTGGCTGAATGGTGCTGTATAAACACGGGGGGGGGGAGCCATATTGGTTCTTCATATAACTAGCCTGCTTAATAGTGCTGCATAATGGTTGTGCCTCACTGCTTTTCTCTCTCAGTGCTCTGGCTAGCTAAGCTTATCTCTGCAGTCGCAGAGCAAGGTTATTGATCACATTCCTCTCGACTACTGACGACTACTAAAGGGAGTGTTTACAAATCAGTACGTATAAATATAATGACCAAAATATGGGAATAATGAGTCTGCCCAATCAGAACTGACAGGGTATTTGACCACAGTGGGGACACTATACACTGCTTCAGATGTGTTTAGGTGCTTGCAGCGTTTACCTGTGAGCTGCATTCTGTTAGTTGTTAAAATGGCAGAGTATTTGGGGGAAAGGTTAGCAAAGGGAAATATATTATTTTTGTGTGCAAATATCGATGCATTTTCCATGCACCAAATCAACAATGCCATTACACAAATTCTATGTATAAATGAAAAGTGATATGCAACAGTTTCTAATAATATCCCTTGGAGTGTGCCAAAATAATCAAACATTTGCCATCTTCTAGAGTTAAAATGTGTTCTAAAATGTACATAGTTACCACACTTGTATACATACTGTAGTGTAGAGGGGCGAACAGCGTGAAGCAGCACTGCAAGAAGTGGAGGTGTGTGGATGGACCGAGCACCACTATCATGCAATTAGTCTTTGTTATTCCCCTATTTAGGTTCATCTTCCTTCCTTGTTATCAAATAAGAGACAGTTGCTTTCAGAAGAGACGAATACAATCTGCAAATGACAGTCACTCAGCTGAACATAGTGTGAACTGATGAACTGAGCTTTTTGTTTTTGTATGCTGTAGTAATGCCAGTCCCCTTCACTGGAAATGGCTGAACTCACTCATCCGGAAGATGCCCGCGTACTGAACATATAGTCGGTGTGATGGTCAAGTGTCTACAAACATCTGGCCATATGGAGTATGCGTGTGCTGCTATACGTCACCCAGGTCGCATGACATACAGTATATCTGCGGATCAAACCAGTGCTACATCATTAGGTTGGCATGCTCTAAGCTGTAGAGGGGAACTCAGGGTGACTGTCACTGGCAAGGCCGTTCACTGCTCATACTCAATCACTGCGCGACTGTGCTACAAATCGCTGTAAAATGAGCAAGCTGGCAATTCCACTGGAAATAACTATGATCTCATGCACAAGGTTGCAAATAGGGACCTATTGGCATACAGCACAAAATATGCCTGTGTTTTGCGGTGCCCAGGAGCCCCAGCTGCTGCGTTTTTCTGTCCATAGGAATGTTTGGGCAGAAAACACTGTAAGCGGGTGTACGTGTATAGATGGCGTTACCAGCGTTAACACGTGCACGGGCGCACGTTCAGGAACTTACTAATGTGCACGTGTAAGCACCAGTCCTATTCATTGCAAAATTGAGAAGCTGGGGCTCCTGAGCACCGCAAATACAGCTGTATTTTACCCTACATGCCAATAAACTTTTATTTGTTCCTGTGTGCATGAGCCCTTAGCGAGAAATTACTTTAAAAAAAATAAAGATTGCTGTTAATAAATTGCCCGCCTGATGTGGCCCTAGGGGAGCAGAGGTACATTCACAGCTCTTTACATAAACCAATCAGTGTATAGTCATGTAAGTGGCACCGTTAGAAGCAGACACACACCATCCTGTGGCTGGAGGAAGCACCATAGGATTGTGTAAGCTGCGGCATGTGGATGTGTCAGCTCAAACTCTGAGCTCAGGATTCCGGACATTGCTTTGCTGAATCACTGTGACTGAGCTGTAGGAGTAAACCATCAACAACTGAACAAGGGGAGCTTGAAACAACTAGAAGCTGCAATATTCTGCGTTTGGCATCTAGCAGTCGTGGTGAATAATTAAAAAAAACATGTCTCCTGATAAATATTTAATTGGGTCATTTTCTTTCTGCTGTCTTGCGGCTCCCCCTGTTTAAGAGACAATGGTAGGCTCCTGATAATAAGTGGGGCAGCCCGGAAGCTTGTATAAATGTATCACAGACAGCTCAGGCACATTGTGATCTGGACAAGAAGCCAGTCCGGGGTACAGAGCATGGGCCTGGCTCGCAGGATGATGTCAGGCGATATGACGCAGGAGGGCAGAAGTATACACTCGAGTAATATCTCCACCGTGCACAACATTCCCATGAGGGTGCTGATCCGGCCCATCCCATCTGAGCTAGATGAGAGCAAGGTGCAGAGTCTCATGGACACCCTGCAGGTATAACATACTTTTTCTTCTCTTTGGTCCAGAGCACTGGCTCATATTACAGATTACGGAATTAATTATTAACAGCTCACCGTTAAAGCAAACCTGTACTTGTGTTAGCACTCCATGGCTGCTTAAAGAGACCCTGGCGCCAGACCATTTGTTTCAACTGCAATCTTCCCATAAGATTATATGAGCATTTAATGCATTCTATGCATGCAATTTCCTGTAGAAGTCTCCCCGGTGTAGACATTCAAACGCCCTGAGACAGCTGCTGGGTGCCGCCATCTTGGATGCAGGCCCGGCGCTACCGCAAGGCAAGGCAAGAGGCCGCCTGAGGGTGAGTGCGGAAAAAACAGGGCATTTTGACAAGTACTCGTAAAATGCAACTTTGCCTGTCTAGGCAAGAATCCTATCACCGGCCCTGCTTGGATGTGATGTCAGCAGACTCAGAGCTGTAACAAGTGACACACTCTAGCCCTCCAGCTAAGGAGAAACTACAAATCCCACCATGAATCTGCCTCTGGGATTCATGCCTGTGGTTGTCAGAGTCTTGCAATGCCTCACGGGATTTGTAGTTTCGCCAAAGCTTGAGGGCCAAAGTTTGCCTACCCTTGCTCTATAGTATTGCCCTCTGCTCCTCCCCCGGAAGCTACATAAAATTTTATGTTGGGAGGTGAGGAAAAGGGGAGAGGAGCTGGGCCATCACATACGGTAATTGGACACTCAAAGAACAGGAGAGGGCTAAGAGGTAGGGGGCCTTGCAAGATAACTGACTCTTCTGACGTTTATTAACTGTTCTACCATGTTCATTGTTTAAGGAAAAGAAAGTAAAGTGTTTGCTTTACAATAAACATTTGAAGTACTTGCTTCTTTTGTGCTTTTACCTGTAATGTTTTGAACTGAAACTAAACTCGGGTGTTAAATCTGTACCATAACTATTAACAAAAAATGTATCTTATTTGTGTATCACTCGGCCGTAGATCCTCCAATCATCTCTGAATTGGTGCCGACACTGTCCTTCCTTCTGGAGGGGGGCTACTTCTGTTCCCCATGGTCCCTGTGCGTGTTAAGTAGTCACTGCTCCAAGCTCGCTCCTGTGATGATCATTGGTATCTGGATCACAGGACTCCCTTAAAGTGATATTAAAGCCAATTTTTTATTTCTCCTTTAAGGAGACCCTCCTTTGCTGGAGGCTGTTTTGTTTTTTTTAAAGTTCTTCATTCCTCGTTTTCTAGTGGGTCCCCGCCATGCTCTCCCCCGCCCGGGTGCTAGCCATCGTTCTAATGGAGGCACCCGTGCGCGCTCGTGCCCGTAGCGGCTGTGTGCGTCCATAGACACGCCCCTTCCCTCTTTGATTGATGGCAGAAGGAGCCTATGGAGAGAGTACAGCAGTGACCGGTCTTTATTACAGGAAGTTCCAAGCCTCACACTGGAATATTGCACAGATCTAAAAAAAAATACAAAAGCTCACCTGCAGGGCTATTCACGAAAGGGTGAAGAATTAGGGGTAGTGGACAATCTAGGACAACATAGCCAAACTGGAATGTGAGCTGAATTGGAGAATTTTTCCAGTTCAGCTATGTTGTCCTAGATTGTTCACTTCTATCGCCTTCTCCAAACTCTTCACCCTTTAGTGAATAACCCTGCAAGATTCAAGGAAGAATACCAGCTCTTGTATATAGATAACATTTGCTTATCCCGGAGTTCAAATTTAAGTAACTTACCAGAATGAAACTTGCTAGGGATAAACTGTGATGAGTAAGAGCACATACAGCCAACCACCCGCTGGGCATCAATGTAAAAGTTCTGTAAATTTTCTGTTAAAAAAAGAAACATTCTAAACATTTAAGTAACCATAAAAATCTCTATAGAAAAAAATGCTACGATACCAGTATGCCAGGTCCGTATGGCATACTGACCTGGCCAGCTGGAAGCACTTTTGTAGGTCCGTATGCCATACGTCCTTGGCAGCGAAAGGGTTAAACTATGTGTTTTTATTCTAACCAATTATATTTCTCTGGACACTGCCCAATAAGGAATTCCTACGTTTTGTGTGGCAGTGGGTGTAAGTATTTCAAGGGAAGAAAATAATACTGACGCAATGTATGTCATTATGACTTAGACAAGTTTGAGTATGACTAAAAATAGAAACTGAGCCTGCAACTATGAAAAGCAGAAGTACTTTACTGCAGGGGTAGGCAACTTCAACAATCCGGCTTTTACGTAACTACAAGTCCCGTGAGACATTGCAAGACTTTGAGAGCCGCAGGCATGACTCCCAGAGGCAGAGGCATCATGGGATTTATAGTTCCACAACAGCTTGATAGCCGAGGTTGCCTCCCCCTGCTTTACTAGGTAGGCAACACAACAGGGGTTATAAATTGCAACATTTAGGAAGAGAAAACATTTCACATATGCTATATTGAATACAAGGGTGAACCTATCTGTTGTGCTATAAACAAATATGACCAATTGTATTACAGGACGATGCAGACCGGGTGCCCCCTATTGATGTCCTCTGGATTAAAGGTCGCAATGGAGGAGACTACTTTTACTCATTTGGTGGATGTCACCGTTACGCAGCACATCAGAGGCTCAACAGTGAAACCATAGCGGCCAAAATTATCCAGTCGTCCATCAGTGACCTGCGTACATACCTGGGTTCCAGCACGCCTGACCTGCAGTAGCCCTAGCTATAGACCCCAGTGTGCAGAGAAAAGGATCGCTCACTCACATGGAGTTCTGCGGGAATGTTCTAAAACACGCACAATGAACTGCAACATTTCCTGAGCCCAATGAACGCACAACTCTCAAAGCCCTCAATGGATTTCACTATGCTAGGCCCCCCATTTAACATCAATAGTTATAACAGAACCCTGCGCTGTGAGATAAAGGAGTGAATAGGGAAAGCATTTTCCATTTTCATGATCAATCTCACAAGATTCTGAGGAGATATGGCAAGGCCTGGTGTATTTTCAAGCAGAAATGTCTGAATACAAAGCTGTTGAAAAATAAGTTATTTTCCTAAAATGATATAGATTGTAATATAAACTAATAACTGTATATGAACCTAATTTATACCCATGTTTAACTTATAAAACATTAAGCAAAAGAATCTGTCTGTTTACTCAAGTCAATGCAGTCAGTACTAAGATGTATAGCTATCTGAGTCTTATATTAAGTCCAGGAATTACAAAACTAACCCTAAAAATGGGGATACCCACGCACAGCAAGGGTTAAATGCTCCTTTTGTCTAAGGGGTTCAAATAAAGAAGATATACTCACCTGATTCTCATTCCTGCCTGGCTGCTAGGCCAATCCCCGCAGCCTGCAAATAAAGGCTTCTTTGTTTATTTGCAGACCAATCCCCTCAACCTGCTAGACCAGTCCCCACAGCCTCTTCTCCCCTGGGCTCTAGAGGTCTAAGGACCGCTGATGTAATCACGTCTAATGCAGGTCCATAGACTTGCGTGAGGATGCTGAGGGCTATTCCACAGTCGGAGCAGAGAGGGACAGAGGTCCTGCCGCGGGACCGAGAATCAAGTGAGTTCATCTTTTTTATTTGCTCCCCTAGACCAAAACGAGCACTTAACCCTTGCAGTGCAGGGGTAGCCCCACTGCAACGGTTAAGTGCCTGTTTTGGTCTAGGGGTGCAAATACAGAAGTTATGCTCGCCTGATGATCGGTCCCAGATTTTATAAACGCCTGGAGTTATTCTTTAAAGTTAAACGTCGGGCAAGCATTATTTTTTACTTGGGAGGTGTTAGAACACACAAAAAAAGCAGCTCTGGCTGCAGTTACTAACCTCCTTATTGTCGCTGCCCCCTTGCAGTAATCACTTTTCACCGGTAGACACCCTTAGTCTTTCAGTCTGGGTGTCATTCAACCCAGAAGAATAATGAAATCCTATAAAAATACTAATTTTAAAATATAAGTGCACCCCATTGTTTAAAGAGACCCTAAAGCTAAGCCTTAAATCCAATTTTGTCTCTCATGCCGTAACCGGAATAACTGCAAATTTCCACTAGAATGTGTGTGCTCCATGCCAGCAGGCAGCTTGGCTCGGGAGCTTAGAATGGAGAGTGTGTATGAAGGGGAGGGGGGCATCATAACAAAGCTTGCTTGACTCTCCTGATGTGTTCATGCAGCAGTCATCCAATAAACAAATAAAGTCTTGGAACAATAGCGGTACACAGGATGTGAGGCTACAAACTTGTTGCCTTTCAAATGCCTCTGTGTATAATAATTTAGGTTACAAAACATTGAGGCAATATTGTTACTTTCACTGTAATGTAGGGAAAATTCAGCAAATATTTATGTTTTTTCGCAAGCAAAACAAAAAGCTAATTTTAAACCCTGAATAACTTCATATAAAACAATGTTGAATCTGCAGTGAACTGGGCAAGTAGGTAAAGGTAGCAGTCAGTCAGTGGACTGCCAGAGTTTGACAATTTGTCAAATACGAAGCGAGATAACAGAATTTAGACTCAGAGACCCTAATATACAGGGGAACAGGTGCTCTTAAGCTGGCCATACACTTTACAACCATCGCACGACTTTTGTCTTGCGATGGTTGTAAGGTAATTTAAAAAACGTACGATCTGCCCATCTTGGACAGGCAGATTGTACTTGCAATCATCGCAAGCCCGCCACCCTGAGGGGCGGGCTTCCGATGACTGCAATGCTGAGCGGGCAGTGTGCGCTTGCGCACACCGGCCCGTGCGGCATTTGTCTTAAGAGCACGCCACCAACCCGCCGAAAATCTTACGATCTTGATCTTAAGTAAGACAAAAGATGTGCGACAGTACAGTAGAAACGGTCACACGCCTTCCATACACCTGCCGATTATCGTACGATAATCGGCAGGTGTATGGCCACCTTTAAAAACAAGGTCACACACGGACTCTCATACACACACACACAATCACACACATACACACAAAGGTTGAACTTGATGGACCTGTGTCTTTATTCAACCTCAAATACTATGTAGCAGTGTTGTAAGCTGAAAGAGACGACGAACAAGCCCCCTTAGCATATGTGCTCCCATTGCCAAGTAATTAGCAGTTTGGTGCTTATTATTTAAATCTCTAAAGCTGCATAGGAGCCGCTTGGAATTCTTGTGCTCAGCTCTGCTCTCTGCCAGGGCGGTTCGGAGGATTATTCAACATGGCTACACACAGAGTGAATGTTCTATTTAAAGCGCGATGCTCACCAGAGATCTTGGCAATGCTTGATGTTCCTGATTCTTAGTAGACTTGATGGCTCAGCTCAAGGCCGTCGGCCTAGACAAGTAGGATATCTTCAGAGGATGCATTCTCGGCAGGTTCCAGGAGGAGGCTTATGTGTTCTTGTGAGCACTAATCAAACTGAAAAAAATGTCTCCCGCTGCAGTACATCAAGCTGGCCAGAGATATAAGACTGTTGAAGCTTGATTTTGCTAATTTTGGAAGAATCAGGAAATCATTTTTATGGTCAATTTAATTTTCTATGGGCACCAGCAGATAGTCATGCCCACCAAGTCCCAAGAGGAAAAGATTGTGAAGGGAAGGTTAGAATTCCCCAGTGCTAGAGATAGGTTATTGGTGGAGTTTTCCAACCAAACTCACTCATTGCTCTATATAACTATGTATACTTTAGGAATTAATATGTGACAGCCAGACAATAATCAGAATAAGCATTCTGCCAGTTGGATCTAGCCTTCTTCGAATGGTTAATTGAAGGGACAGGTTCTCTTACCCAATCTGAATCCAGCTCATAAGACAGCATCAAAGTATGCAGCAGATGAAGTGGAAAACATGGCTGTGACCCCTGTTTTTTCTCAGACTTGACGTAACTGCAACATAATTAATCCCGATTTAATTAACTGCTTGATGTCCTACACAATTTCTAACATCATTCATTGTAATCATCGCTAGCCAATTCATCTGGAAAATGAAGTCGCAACTCGGGCTAACACCATTCTGTTTGGCACAGTAACCTCACATATCATTATGTGGAGAAGCTTGGAGTCTCTGTGCCTTTGCACGTTTTTATGTTTACCCAAATGTATTCTGAAATTATGTGTCTGCAGATTACACAGGGAGGGAAGAATAGGAAACACGGATAGACATAGATAGATAGACAAAGAAGGAGAGAGAGAGACAAAGAAAGGAGAGGGAGAGAGAAGGAGAGATGAGAGGGGGGGAGAGAGAGAGAGGGAGGGAGGGAGAAGGGGGGAGAGAGAGACAAGGAAAGTAAGAAAGGAGAGAGAGAGACAAAGAAAGAAGGAGAGAGAATGAGAGAGAGAGACAAGGAAAGAAAGAAGGAGAGAGAGAGAGACAAGGAAAGAAGGAGAGAGAGAAGGAGAGATGAGAGGGGGGGAGAGAGAGAGGGAGGGAGAAGGGGGGGAGAGAGACAAAGAAAGAAAGAAAGAAAGAAAGAAAGAAAGAAAGAAAGAAAGAAAGAAAGAAAGAAAGAAAGAAAGAAAGAAAGAAGGAGAGAGACAAAGAAAGAAGGAGAGAGAGAGAGAGAGAGACAAGGAAAGAAAGAAAGAAGGAGAGAGAGAGACAAAGAAAGAAGGAGAGAGAAGAGAGGAGAGATGAGAGGGGGGGGAGAGAGAGAGGGAGGGAGAAGGGGGAGAGAGAGACAAGGAAAGAAAGAAAGAAGGAGAGAGACAAAGAAAGAAGGAGAGAGAAGGAGAGAGAGAGACAAGGAAAGAAAGAAAGAGAGAGAAGAAGGAGAGAGACAAGGAAAGAAAGAAGGAGAGAGAAGAAGGAGAGAGACAAGGAAAGAAAGAAGGAGAGAGAAGAAGGAGAGAGACAAGGAAAGAAAGAAGGAGAGAGAAGAAGGAGAGAGACAAGGAAAGAAGAGAGAGAGAGACAAAAAGGGAGAGGGTGAGATAGAGAGAGAGGGGGGAGAGAGAGAGAGAGAGAGAGAAAGAAAGAAAGAGAAAGAAGAGTATTTAAGCTGTGGAGAGGAAATAGAAAGGAAGAAACTTTGTTGCTGTCTGTATCCTTGTTGGAGAGATTTCTCCTCATTTCCTGTCGGGTCAGCAGGGCAGTCAATAGGGACATAGCAATAAAATCACATTTACTAGATTAGCAAGGAAGGGAGATGTTGAAAATAAACTATTTTGTATCCAGAAAAAAAAACCCTCCCTAAGTTGGCCTTATGAATTGTAAAGATTTTAGCAATCTGACCTGCAGATTCTTCTCTGCTTTTTTGTTTTGTTCTGAAGATCCAGATAAGTCATTCTAGTAGCTTCCCTTTCTCTGGAATCGAAGGTCCTGCCTGCTACGATGACAAGATCAGTCCCAGTGTTTTTGGTAGCTGGCGGCAAACTGCAGCAGAAAGTTAGGTCTAAATAGTATTGAATGACATAAATAGTGCAGCCAGTTTTGAGATCTATGGCGTGGGACCCCTGATAGACAGCACAGCCAGGCACAGGAGCAAAACTGTAGCCACAGCAGCAGCACTGTTTAGTCAAGACTGACTGGACGATGAAGGAGGAGTACCACACCGACGACCCGTCACTGTGCTCTCTCCTCCTGTAACCATGTTCACTTTCAGTATGTGGAGTCTATTTGGCTCTTAGAGCTGGCCCTACATCAGCCAATTTGGCGGCTGC